AGGCTTAGCTCCTGGTGGGCCGCTGCCGCTGTATTTACCTGAACCTCCGCAGGCGATCCGCGGCCAATGGGCGCTGTGGTCTCCTGAACCTGCGGAGGCGCAAGTCAATACGGCGGTGTGTGGGACTCCCAGGGGCTAACCCTGTCAGGTGGGTCTGGCCCGCGGGCCGGTATTTGTCCTCACCTGGGTAAGAGTCTCTCTCCCAACACTCAGCTCCGCTGGCTGGAGGAGTCTCTTGTCACTTCATCCTAACTGGGTGGATACCAGCATGTGACTCCCTGTCCCAGCGGGTTCTGCGGAGTCTCAGTCAGGCCCTGTGCTCACAGCGTCCCCCCACCCCTCACAAAACCGTCTCCTGGCATTATATGTGCGCTGAGCTGCAGGGGGACATCTGACCCCCAGGGCACATCGCCCTGTACTGAGCGCTCAGCCCCTGGCCTCTCTTATACCCACCTGGGAACCCGCATGCAAATCCCTGCTTGGGGCTGCTGGGTTAAATACCAGCCCCTGGTTCTAGGAGCCCCAGTCTCTGCCCAGACACAGACCGGCCCGGCCCTGCGCGATCTGAAGTTTCTCTCAGTGCCTGAGAGCCAGAATGGAAGCTCTGCTGCTTTTCCTTGCTCTGCTCGCCGCCCCCAGCTGTGAGTGTCCGTGGGGCACGTGGGGGAATCAGGGGCAGACCCTGGGTTCATTCAGTGATTAATTAATTCCTGGCTCTGTTTCCCTGCCACCAGGTGTCCTCTCCCAGGTGCAGCTGGTCCAGTCCGGCCCGGGGTCGGTGAAGCCCGGAGAGACCCTCACCCTGAGCTGCGCTGTCTCTGGGTTTTCTGTTAGTACCGGCGGCTACGACTGGCACTGGATCCGGCAGCCCCCTGGGAAAGGGCTTGAATGGATGGGCCGGGTATATCCATACAGCAGCGGGGCCACAAACTACGCCCCGTCTCTCCAGGGCCGAGTCACCATCTCTGCAGACACCGCCAAGAACCAGTTCTCGCTGCAGCTCCGCTCGCTGACAGCTGCAGACACCGCCGCTTATTACTGCGCCAGGGGAGACACAGTGACACAGCGCAACGCAGGGCCTGGTACAAAAAGGGGAAGCGGTTTCTATGCAGACAAGCAGGGCGGGACAGGAGACAGCCTCAAATTGACAGACGCTGTCTCGAGGTCTCTATTATGGACAGCATCTGTCTGTCTGTCTGTCTATCCCCATGCACCTCCTCCATCTAACTAGCTAGCTATGGAGAAAAGAAATGATTTAGGGGGGATATTATAGAGTTCTGCACCCTCATGAATGCTGTTGGAAAAGGTAAATAGAGAAACGAGGGATCTGCCCTGTTCTCCCAAGGCAAGAACGAGAGGAACTAACACAGAGCTAGCAGCGGAAATACACGCAGGACATGCTTTCTCACATACCGCAGACTCCACCAGGAAAACTCACTGTCATGCGATGCTCTGGTGCAGTCGTTCCCAACCTTTTTTATGCCACAGAACGGCAAACCCATTCAAAACGTTTGGAGGACCGGTAGCATATTCATATGGAAACAATGAAAACGCAAATTAAATGTTACTGGTCTGCCTAGCCCCAAGCCAGCTCCTTGCTCCCCATTGCCTAACACTGTTTGATCCCCACTCCTACACCCTATGCCCTTTGATCTTTAATCTCTGACCCTACAGCCCATGCCAACACCCTCTTTTCCCATGAGCGGCACTTCTCCTTCAACCTCCTCCTTCCCCGAGCCTGGCAGAATATTTATTCCAATTTGTGTACAAGAGAGGTTACCGTCTGGGGAGTTTCTGTGGTGTAGTGGTTATCACCTTTGCCTAACACACACAAAGTGCCTTCTCTTACTGGGACTCTCCTTGGAGCCCTGTTAAGTGCACCTCCTGCTGCCCGGCCTGTCCCTCAGGTGAGTTCAGCTCTCCTGTGTCGTCAGCTCAGAACGCACCTTGGTGTCAGCCTGGGGAAGTGAGATGAGTCAGGCTGGTCACCTGTTGGAGGCTTGTGGCTTCTTGGCCTCTGGTGCCCTTGGTAGGTGGCACATGGAGTCGGCTCTTCTTGCTGCCTCCCCTGTGTGACCTGCCAAAGGCAGAAGCGAGGCAGGAATGGGGCAAAGGAGGAATCTCAAACTGAGGGAGGCGAGAAGCTAAGAGCCCCTCCCCCCTTTTGTTCTGTGAAAGCCTGTGGGGTGCGGCTGGCTGCTCAGAGGCAGACTCCTGTGCCTGTCTCATGGAATCCCAGGGTTGGCTACGGCAGCCCAGAAGAAGAGGGGCATTCTGGTTGGAAGGAAAACAATCATGGCTGCGTCCGTTTGGCCGAGCGGGGTGGGCGATGTTGGGCTTGACGGGCTCCCTGTCAGCCTTTGTGGCTGCTCCGGGGTGTTATTCATGGCTTTGGATGTGGGGTGGGGCTGGCTGTGAGCAACAGGGATCCACGAAGCCCCCACCTGCCCTTCTGGTGCAGTCCGAGGAGCGCATCCTAGAATGGAATGTCTGGGACCTGACCCAGCGTGGCTTTGATTGTGGGGTGGGCCTGGCTGTGAGCAACAGGGACCCACGAAGCCCCCACCTGGCCCTCTGGCGGTGCAGTCTGAGGAGCGCATCCTAGAATGGAATGTTTGGGACCGGACCCAGCGCTATTGGCTGCCCAGCTGTTCTCAGACTCTCCTGGACAGGCTGGTGCAGCCTTTCACCCGCAGGCGGCTCCCAGGCCCGCTGCCCTTATCGCTTCTCCACAGCGGCTGTGTCCCCGGGACTCCCTCTCCCTTCCCTTGGCTTCCTCAGCTCCCGGCTCCGCAGCGCTTCCCGCCAGCCGGACACTGCACTTTCCAGGCCCGATCCTGTGGATTTGAGCTTCCCGGCAGCTTCCTAAGCCCCCACCCCCTCAGGAAAAAGAGAATTGGGATTCCTTGAGCTCCTGGTGCACAAGCAGCGTTAAAAGGCACGGACACGGGCTGGACACTTTGCCACTCGGGTTAACAGACTGATGCTCTGCCAGCTGCCCTGGTGGGTAACCTCAGAAAAAGTTCCAGGCAACCGGTACGGGAGCGAAATGGTTCCCTCGGGCACCCAGGGGACAGAGCCACAAGGAGGCAGCAAAGTGTCACGTGGGAGCGTTTCTTCCCACAGACTGACCCTGGGCACCGGCTCCGGGAATTCCCGCCTCCAGCGCCCAGCACCGGGCCCATCTCACCCGGGCGGGGGGAGCCCTTGGTTCTGTTCTGTCAGTTTCCTGTTACATTTTCAGTTCACAATACGAAGAATCTTCCTACTGAGTCCCCCAGTTAACTCCGAGCTCAGACCCATGTCCACGTGCTTCAGTGTCTGCCGGGATCGGGACCCCCAGGCGGGTGCAGTCTGACTCCTGCACCCGGAGCCCTCGGGAGTAGCGGTCAGAACCCCGGCTGCAGCAGAGCCTGATGAGGGACTCAGCGTCCTCTTTAAATCTCTCCCTCTGCTCAGGCTGCACTCGAAGGGACAACCCGCAGCCGCCTGAGTCTGGGCAGCGACCAGCCAGTCCTCTGAGACCTTTCCCCGCCACCACCAGGGACAATGAGACTTTGGCTCCTTCTCTTTGTCTCTGCAGCAGCTTTGGCAGGTATGTTCTTCTTCTGAATAACTGCCAGTTAGAAAAGCATTAAATTATTACTTGTGTCATCCGATATTAACAAGCTGGGTCTTTAACTGCAGGTGCCCGGTCCCAGGTGCAGCTGGTGGAGTCCGGGGGGGGATGTGAAGAAGCCCGGAGACTCTCTGCGCCTCTCCTGCAAAGCCTCCAGCTTCACCTTCAGCAGGTACCGGATGGACTGGCTCCGGCAAGCTCCCGGGAGGAGGCTGGAGTGGGTGGCTGCTATCAGCTCTACTCTGATGCACTTGGGGCCGATTCACCATCTCCAGGGACAAGGATTTGCTCAGAAACGATTTGGTCACAGGCCAATCTTGTGAAATGGCTGGGAAGTGAGTTCCCCGCACCTGGAGGGGCTTTGGGAATCACGGCTCAGCCGCAGAATTCACCAGATCAGAGCCCCCGTGTCTGCAGCTTCTTCGCTTCGGTGATTGCCCCCTTCCATACCTGGCGTACCACATCCCAGTAAGCCAGCCTTATTCATCTCCCCATTGCAGCGTCCGGTTCCACCCGAAATTCCCCCGATCTCAGCACGTTTCTCGCACTAACCAGCAGTGTCCTTATTTCGCTGCTACATTCCGCACACTCGTGTGTCTGGCACCCGCCTGCCGTGGCACATTCCAAGTCCCACAGGGAATTCCTACACCCCCTTCCCCTTGATGTCTGATGGGTCCTGAGCATGCGCATCTAGGGGCTGCCTGTCGAATCCAACCCGCAGATTGTCCTCCCATTCGGGTAGCGGCCTTCATTGCCTCGCGGGTGTCTGTGGCCGCTGGGATCACGGAGGCCTGATCTCTGGCTGTGGCCTCAAAATGCTACAGGAGTAACGTGACTATAACAACAACAGTAACACACTGGCCCCGCACTGAGGGGCCAGAGCTAGTTACAGCGCCACGCACAGTGGCCGAGATTCCCAACCTCGGACAAAACTGCCCTGGTTTGTGCTGGCTGGAAATCTGGCCCCGTTGACTCCAAAGGAGAGAGATTGATTCACTCTGGCTGGGAATCTGGTCCCATTGATTCCATTGGAGCTTTGGACAACTGATTCTATTGGATGGTTCCACCCCTTAATGTTATTGGAGCTACGCTAATGTCATGGGCTGGAAATCTGGCTCTCCGGGAAATATTCTTCAAAAGCTCAAATAGAGATAAATAAGGTAAAATTGTATTATGCTCTTCTTAGCAGGGGTAGGTTCTCAAAGTTGTTGTAATGGAGTTAAGCTGCCAAATCTTATCTAAATTTGGATGGTAGCTGTGTTCCTAATTCCCTTGGGCTTCCTTGAAATCCCAGACAATATGACAAATGAAGGGGCATGATTTCTCTTATCCAAATATTCCTTCATTCCTAAGAAGGCTTCGCCATGCACTTATGTGGGCTGAGAATTTCAAAGGCCCTTAAGTGACCTAGGGAAGTTCCTGTCCTCTGCGAGGGAACCCGACCTGGGGACATGGGTGCTCCCCTTGACTCAGGCCAGCCGCGGCGAGGCCCCACATGAATTGGCTTCCGTCTGCCCACTTGCTGCACCACTCTGGGGGGAATGGCACAGGCCTGTCCTCTGTAGTCACACCCACCCTTGCACTGGCCTTGATCTCTGGCCAGGGTCTCTAGGGCTGGGGCCGTGATCTCAGCAAGCCTTCCCTGGACAGCCAGGGCATCTTCCACCCCTGACGCTCCATCCAGGGGGGTCTTCCCCTCCCATAACTCTCTCAGAAAACCCAGGGGGTCCTCTATATGGGGTATGGGCCCCCAAAGCAGCTTTTCTCCCATCTTCGGGCTTCCCGCTCCTCTAGCAGGACCGGCAGTACCGCTGCATGGCCGCAAATATCCCTGGCCAATAGAAGTGTTGGAGCAGCCTCAGCCAGGTGCTCCGGATCCCCCGGTGGCCCACAAAGGGGACATCGTAGGCCAAATACAACAGCTTGAGGTGATGCTTCTGGGGGACTACCAGCTGCCGCTGGACCCCCCCCCCCCATCCCCCCCCCCTCTTGG